TTGTACGAATCATCAATTTAATTAATGTTTAAATCATATTAAAACTCTTGTCAACGTAATGTTAACAGTTGTTTTATTTTAACAAGGAAGGGATGTAGTATATACAGGTAGTGGGGGTTATTAGATTGTCTAGTATATATTCAGTGATCTATGAGGGTAGGTCATTAGACAGTCAACGGCCGTGGGGAACGGACGTATTCAGTGTGTCTGAACTAACGGAGTGATTAAGTGTAACTATACCTTAGTGTCAGTGTTATCGAGCATTCTACTGTACTGGAAACCAGAACTCAAAATGAGCCCATAATTTTTACCAATAAACAAATTATGTTTGAGAATTTTTTATAGGGGTTGGATAGTAACACAAATCGTAGGTGTCGCATTGTTTACTTTTATGGATATTTGTTAGATCAAGAAAATTGGATAAAAATATAAATTTAAGAGGGCATATGCGTTTTGCGTCGAAAACTACATGTTTTAGGGTTTTTCCAAAGGCGATATCGTAACGACGTGAGGTGATTATTTGCTGAAAATTAGGGCTTTAGAAAGATGAAGTCTTTATTTAGTACAAAGTAATGCAAAATCATAGTTTTTAATGACGGTTTTTTAGAGCGAAGACAATCCCTTCACAGCGTTTTACGAAAATATGCGTCAGAGTTATCTTTCAGGTTGAATACAACCATTATTATAAGCTAAAATACTTTATTTTAAGCGTTAGTATAATGGAATATATAGTCTTTTAGTGTATAGCAAAACCTAAATTACGAATATATTTCGATTTAATTTTATAAAATCACCAAAACTGTCTACTTCAATGTAATTTTTTTCCGTGTATAGTTATAAACATATCTATTTTAATTATTTTATCAAAATACATGTAATGTTAAACATCCAAAAAAAGTTTTAGCTGGTTTTATTTTGTCAATTTTTTTATATAATTGTTTTAAAAATACTATAAATCATCACGCGCAGACGCCGTCCGATTCAGTGTGCTCCGGGTAATCCCAACGACAGGATGTATCACTTTTTCTCACCGACACCGCTGATACACCGATAGGGATATACTACACTAAACTATAACTAGCTACCTATAGCACCATCAAGCATTTTAAACGATTGACTTTTTAAGCGATATTTTTGGTAGTAAGTAATTTTGAAATATGTTTATGGTAATGGTAATATTTAAATAATAAATGATTTAATGGTAGCAAATTTACATTTCATACATATTTTTTTAGAAATTGGTAATAAACATAAGCAATTCGGCTCTAGTAAAAATACAAAATCGTTGGCTATCACCTTTGGCTCCGTGGCGGAGTGACTTGGTGTGAGTTGTAGCGCTGAGCGACGCGGGTTCGAATCCCAGACGGAACAAAAATTTCTGTAATCTACAAATAATTGTTCCGGGTCTGTATGTTTGTCCTTGTGAAATTAATGTATTTAAACTGCCTCCACGATGTACTTGGGAAAAATTCCTAGTGTGGAGATAACATTATGATTAAACAAAGACATAAAAAAGATATGAGCCGTGCTTGAGTTGAGTGGCTCAAGGGCAAAGTGTTCGCCATAAACGCGAGCAATCCGGGTTCGATCCCGCCGACACTAATGAAATTGTTAGTTTGATGAATTATGTTTACATTATGAAACAGAATAAAAGTTTATCAAATGATATATATTTTATATAGTACATATTTTTAATTAGAACATATTTTATAATATACTCAATAGGGTGAAAATGTAAAGCCGACTTCAATGTACTAAAAGAATAAAACAATTTCACCATATTAGCCTCCAATTTCCATATACTATTTAAGCCATTATGTGGAAATTATTTTTTTATTCTTTTAGTTCTAATAATATAAAAATGATTCGTGGAACTAAAGCCGACTTTCCACTATGGGATATAATATAATTTATATTACATCTCGATATATAAATTAATATCGCTCACCGTACTTTTAAATGGAACCGTTTCCACTGAGATATAATATATATTACATCCCAAACTATAAATATTTTTTCGATCGACCGAGCGATATTTTCATATTATATTTCACCTTCTGTACCCTGCACACCTTTCCGCGCCTCCGCTACGTCCTCAGATCATCCAATGACGAACGCACACTGGTTAAAAGATATATCTCACAGTGTGAAGGGTAATCGTGGGATATAATTTATATTTCGGGATATAATATGTATTATATCCCAAATATAAATTATATCCCACGTATAGTGGAAAGCCAGCTTAAAAGCAACTAGCGTCGAACTCGCCCTGACACGCACACAGAGATAACATTGTAGTGTACGTCAATATTACGCAGTTCCAAAGCGAACGCGTAGATTTCGACTTGGACATATTTGAATATGCGCTCTTAATTATTAAATTGATATTTTTGGGTTGACTTTTTAATGTGATTTAACTTTTTAATGTGGTTATACTCTTTGAGTCTATTATTTTCTCGCGATTGTATGACGTTACTTAGTAGAGCGGTTATATAAAAGCACTTTAATATTTGTGCTGCTAAAATGCAGTACCAAAAGCATGAAGGAGATAAGTGCTAAGGTACCAAGTATATTACTAGGCAGTGATGTGAAAGAATACCATCAGGCCTCACTGTTGTCAAAATTTTTATATTTATTAAATATGTACAGAAATAGTTTATTTTATTTTATTATTGTAATCTATGCCATCCCAACAAGTTACCTTGATACCGAACTACATAGTCCGTACGGTTAAAGGATGGGATTAATGGCGTCTCATCAAGCTCATACTGTTAACAAGCACAGCAAAGCCAATAATGAAAACCCGTTAATAAGGATATAGCGTTATAATGATGTATTCAGTTAATTGTAAATTTACTGTTACTATTTATTACATTTTATCAAAATATTTAATATAATTTTTATCAATTAGACTATTTACTTTATCTTATTAATATTTCTATTTTAATAAAAATTCTGAAATTTTCGGATAATATTTAGTCTAAATCACTCGTGGTATTACTCTTTATATTACTAAAGTTTTATTTCAATCGGTTTAACCATTCTAAAGATTAGCTTGGACAAACTAAACTTTTAAAAATGTGCTCGGGGTATCATATCGACGGGTGCATATTAAAAAGATTTATATACAAAACAGCTACTTTTCAGAAGATCGCATAATAGGAAGAAGTGCTCCCATTTTGATGATATTAAACCAAATTTGTTGATTTTTGAGGCGTACTTTATTACTTCAAAGGGTATCTACATTGTACTTATAAACTTTATCTAATTATGTTTATTTTACGAGATATTGCAGTTATCTGCATCTACATAGTACTTTGAAATATGACAACTGTGTTAACTACCACTTGTTCTTAATAAAGTATGTATAATATATTTCAGTAAATACAATACACTTTTCCATTCCTAGATAGTGTTTACCTGAAATTAATAGTAATTTATGCCTCCTATCAATCCTCTTGTCTTTATTTCTTAATCGCTTTTTCTTTAGTCTTTCACAGTGAATTGACGTCTTTTTATAAAGCTTAACGAGCAAGGCCTAGAACATTCACTTGAAGCCTCCACTGCTGAAGAAGCATCACTGGTGTTGATTATTGGAGATTGACAGTTTGAAGGTGACATACTTGATAACCTGCCTCAATTTAGTGAACAGATATTTTTATTTAGCTATGATAATGGACGTGTGGTACACTTGAAGTAAATGAATTATATTCCGAGGGTGTTGGTGTGACAGTTATTTATACTGTTAGTGTCTTTATTATCAACGTCAAAATTTTCAGAATTTAAAATAATGTAATTCAGATAGAGGGGATAGGTGTGAACAATCTAGAGTGTGATGTAGAAAATGGGGACTTATAAGTAAACCGAAACTAAAAGTAATGGTACTCAATTGTCTTCATAGCTGACACATCAAGTTCCTCTATGAGATCTTTATTAACTTCATCGGCAAACACCGAATTCTTCTCGAAGAATCCGCTGCTTATGTTATGCAGACTTTCGTCTTCTTTATGAAAAATAAGTTAAAAAAATTATTTAATCAATCGCCAATTAATATAGCTAACAAAAGCAAAAAAGGTAGGTACCTACTAACACAAAAAAAAACTTTATTTACTTATAAAATGAGACATCTACATATAATCTCAAAGTAGAAAAAGTCATATGGCAAATGGTAGTTTATGCGTGGTTTAGTATTAAAAAATAACTAATGATAACCTATTCATAATTAAAACAACAAAACATGACCTATCTTCAAAAAATAATCACATAATGCCATTATAAAAATATGTACCAGGGCTAGTGTCACGGTTGTTTTTATGTGTAAGTTATATCAATTCTACTCTGTTTTTAATAGCAGTTTATCGTCTCGATTTACCCAAATTCACTAACTATTTAGGTCTTTCCATATCTATTGTGATGCACTCAAATTGTTAACAGTGTTAGATAACACTTGATTACAATGTCGTAGAACATGAGCTTTTTAGTAAGTTACTGCAATAGTCATAAAATCACAAAATTGCAGTTTTTTTTAACTTTGCACCCGTCGATATATTGCACTTGATTGTTCAAGCACACTTTAAATAAATACATTTTAACATGATAGCCGAGACAGTTAAAATTTGTAGGTTTAAATATCAATTAACGCGAATAGTTTCCAAGAAAGGCTGTAGAAGAAAATATAACGCTTCATTAAAAGAGATAAAAAATAGATTTTCAACATAATTAAGATTTTTTGTATTGATTTTTATACAGCCATGTCTCAAAATGGTACTTTGAGCAGCACTCAAACATGTGAGAAAAATCACTGTCATAGACCTAAAAATTTGGATATAGCAAATATCGGTCTAAAATCTACTTCTCACATAAATATCACAAAAAATCAAAATAAATGTTCAATCCTTAAATTGCACTGAACACATATGCGCCGTTGAAGCAATTGTTTATTGAGGTCCCATCACTACACGGTCTAATTATAAGCAAGACATAAGCAAATTATATTTTACCTTATTTGCCAATGTGAACTTGTAAGGTTGCCAAATGCAAGTTCAGCTAATTTTGCAGAATAATACATTACTTCTGTTGTTAAACTGCTGTCTGTAACTATTCTTGTTAAAAAATGAATGTATATTGCTTTTGGTAAATCTTTTTCATTGTTAACATTTGAAATATTTTCAAAATATACTGAGTCATCTTGTAAAGCCTTGCAAGTGTCCAGTAAAGTATTGACAAAATAATGAAATAAAGGCTGAAAGGGAAAACAAATAATTCATTGTATAAATTACGTAAAGTTTAGAAATATGGACTCGTATGGATATTATTTTTATAAATACATACTTTGTTCTTTTTCTTATCATTGCTTACAATGCTATGAACCATTATAGATAAACCTGCACCCCTTCTTGTCACAGAGGCCATATTGTTTGCTTCCATAAGTAATTCATTTAGTTTTTGTTTTAATAAAGATAAGGGTAATTTAGAAAGCTGACATTCCGCTGGTAAAGATGTTAAGTTTTGTATAGCTTCACCTGTAACAAAAAAAATTATATCAATATGAATAAGTATAAAATTTGTCCCATATTTATGTAGGAGCTAATGGGATATTTGATTCGTGATTGTATAAGCGATAAGCAATCAACCTAACTTAGTTCATATTTTTTTGGCTTAACAATCAGCGTAGCTTGCTCCTCGTGGCTCGGCTTACACCCCTCGGGGATAACAGGCGTGACGCTTTGTAACATTTTAAAAAGTTGTAACTTCAAATTTTATATGATAATTTGTTATTGCAGTAAGACCTTTTCACAGAAGTAGTTTTGTTATTTATGTTAACAAAATTATCATAATGCTAAAATAGATATAGGTAATGAATTGTTAGCTGATGGAAACTAGTGAGCTAAAAGTACAGACTGATTATGTATGTACAAGTACATTACAAAAATTATATAATAAAGTAAAACATTAAAATCATTTGGGCAAATGAGTACGAATAAACATAAGTACCTAAAATGTGTAATAAGAGAAGAGTGTGGTTTGCAAGATGATGTTGTGACCAGGATGAAGAAAAGAATGCTTCGGTGGTTTGGTCATGTGGAAAGAATGAATGAGGAAAGAGTGACAAAGAAAATTTATGTTGCAGAAGTGAATGGCAGAGTCGGAAAGGAACGTCCTAGGCGAAAATTTATCGACCAAATTGGAGATTTATTTAAAACGGGCCAAATTAGGAGTACCCTACCACGTATCGTAGATGGATGTGAAGGAGGCGAGAGAGGTGTGTCAGGATCGTGCCAAATGGAAGTCTGTAGTCTCTGCCTACCCCTCTGGGTGACAGGCGTGTGTTTATGTATGTACCTAGAGTATAAATAGTTAATATATCATGATAAAATATTCTGTGAACTATTTTATTTAAATAAAAAAACGACAAAAAAACTTAAAATCATACACTCCTACTCCCCATAGTATCATGCCAAGAACGCTGGCTGCGATACTCCGCTGAATGGCTGAAAATTTGGAATATATGGAATATTTAGCCTTTGAGCGAGAACAGAATTAGCTCTCTTATTCACCAGCATTCGTCCGTTAATAAGAGGGCTGGTTCTGGGCTGGTCCGGGTCTCCTGTCATTGTCTCTAAATATTCCACAAGGCTCTAAAATTATTAATTATTTGTAATAGATAGAAAATGAAATTCAGTTAAACCCACCAAGAGCTACACCAGCTGCCTCTATCGCTCCTTTATGGCGGGATGTTTCAAGAACTTTTGTAATCACATAAAGGGATTTTTCACATATAGCTAGATGTTTATCACTGTTGTGATATTTAAGAATCAATGATGCCAGTTCACAAGATGCCTGAACAAATAAGACAAATAAAAATTTCTTACACAATTATTTAAAAATAAAGTAATAAAACTTTTATTACCTTGACATTTAACCATAAACAATTTAACACAATTTGTTGTAAACCAGTTATCTTTGTTTCATCTTCATCATTACTTGTTGTATAACCTGACTTGTCTATTATCTGTTGAACCATGTCATTCATTTTTGAAAAGTCTGAACTTGTTGAAATACCTTTTTCCCAAACAAATTGGCTTGATGTGCTTTCTAAAATCTCTAGTAATGACCATATAGTATTTTTCTCAATTTGCAAGATATATGAATCTTTAAGACATGCTTCAAAAATAACACATAAAACACATATATGTGAATGCAGTTGTTTTCCTTCTTTAATTGATTCCATAATGTCTCTATTTGATATATATTCAGTTTTTAGCATAGTGTAAGCAAAATTAAAAATTTCATCTATATTTCCAAACAAAACACTTTCTAAGTTATGTTCTTTTAATAGAACATTAATTATTAACTTGAACATGCTTTGTCCACTATTTATCTCATAGAAAAATTTGCTTTTAATTTTTAACAATGCAGTGTTTATGATATGATTCATAATCATTTGATTCCTCAATTCTTTATTATAATGATTTAATAGTAAATTTGTTACATTTTCTCTTATGTCATCTGCAGGATCGCTTAAAAGATTTATCAGCTTTTCAACCACTTTTTGATTAAAAAGTCTCCAATTATTACCATCACTTAAAAAACTTACTAATGTATAATTTGTCTGTTTCATTTGTTTTTGTTTCTTTTTTGATATTACAGTACAACAGTTAAAAATCGTAAGAAATATTTTAATTGTTGTAATTTTACGTTGGTAATTTCCATTTAAATTTAATGAATTTATTAAAAATTCTTGCAACTTTGCATAAAATGCAATTAAGTTATCTACATTCTGGTCCATGTTTTTATTGTTCATGAACATTGTTTGCAAATGTTCGAGAAAACTATTAAAGCTATTAAGCATACACAGTCTCAACACTGTGCAATCAGAATTGACATTGTCTGCTAAAAAGTTTAAAACTATTGCATATTCCTTTTTGCTAGGCCACGACTTACCATGTGTAACACAAACTATATCAAAAGCAGACATTCTTATATATGGATTGCAATGTTCTATACCACAAATTACTAATTGTTCAATATCTGTTATTTGACTCCAATCTTTAACAATCAGATTAAGCCTATTACTTTGCCTTATTAAACATAGAGTACCAAACATTTTCTTTTCTGAATTTTCACATTTCTGTAATACATTTATTATTAAAGTACTCAATGATGGGAATTTTTTTAATGTTGTAAGACACCAGTAATTATTAAAGTTTTCAATTGCTTTTTGTGATGAGCAATTTAAAATTTGTATTATGCTGTTTAAAAATATCTCTCTCCATTCTTCATCTGAGTAAATTTTTTTCAGTAATGAATAATACATATCTGCTCCAGCCGACACCAATCCAGGTTTATGTAAACTATGTAGGAGACCATCAACTAAGTTGAATTGTTTTATTAGTATTACTACATTATCTGTGTATTGCTCTATAACCTCAGATAACATCAAATACTTAGCCTTGTTCCAGCAAAAGGAATTAATTTTTCTCAAAATTTCTTCATAAATATCACCATCCATCACAGAAACGATAGTTTGAAAAATAGATCTATTCAAGTTCCGTATTCCATTAATAGGGTTCTCCCAATTGTGATTTACCAGATTCAGTAATTTCAACTGATTTTGTCTTGTGAATACTACATCCTGTAAACTTGTTCCACATACTTTTTTAAGCGAAACTATAATTTTAAAAGTTAAAAATGTGTAATGTGAATATTCATAAGCCATGTGAATAAGCAAGTCAAAAACAGAATTTAAAATGTCTACTAAAACAGCCTCGTTTTGATTGTCTTTTTGTGAAAGAAAAGAGGACTGAAATAATCCATAAATAATGGAAACAGTTCTCATAATTGTACTGTTATCTCTATTTGATTCATTCCTCTTATTTAGCTCTTCATTAATATTTTGTAGTATTAACTTTAAGAAATGTTCCTGCTTTTCAACAATGCTAAGAATTATATAAAAACATGTTGAGCAAAGCAGTTGATCATCTAATTCCTTTAATTCCGACTGTAGGTGACCCCACAAAGTCTGCAATAATTTATCATACAGTAACAAATAGTCATCAGTCCTGTCTGTTTGTATGTTTATCTTCTTTATTTTTATCAACACCTCCTGTAATTAGAATAACATGTAAAATTAATTTTTAATATATAACAATAATTTATAAAGAAGGAGGGTTATTGGGGTTGTAAAAAGATGTAACAAACTCTCTAAGGCTCAGTTCACAGTCTTAAAAATATGGTTTAGCTGTGCTGCATGGGAATGTGTATCAGTGTTAAATTAATATTAATTATTATTGTACCTAACATAGCATTGTTTTTTCTTATTTTTAGAATTAAATCTAAAACGCAAGTATATTCCTGAGGCAGAAATTGAGTATGTTTACTTATTAGAATATTTTTTCACAATATAATTTAAAAAACCCACTCAGTAAAGAGTATAATCTACAAGTTAAGAAAGGTTGTCAACCCCTAAAATTTCAAATACTCAGAATATACAGAAACGAAGCTGTAGACATGAAATACTTGCAAAATAATGAATAATTTGTTGTAGATAAATCTACCAAAAATGCAATCTGAGCAAGTTATAAAGATTTTTAAAATGACACAACTCACATGTCATACGCCACACAGAAAAATAATCGATAACATGCCAGGTGTGTCATCAATTATTTTTTCCACACTGAATCGGTTAATGGGAAGCATCATCACCAGTCCAAAACTATTGACTCTCCTAACTAACATGTAGTGAATATTAGACTAATCCTTTACAACTAATGTTGTACAGACTAGTTGACACACTATTGAAAACCCAGCAGCAGATAAAGGCTGTGGTTCTCTTTTAACAGACAGAAATATGGTATTGGTTAATTTTTCTAATCTATATGATTTGTATTACTTAAAAATATTATGAATTTAAGGTTTTAGCAATACATTTTAAGCTCATTTAATAACAAAAATTTACATAATGTTAAATGCTGAGATTTTGAAGTTTTCTTATTACAGTTTAAGATATGTTTGTTTATATAGAAAAACTACATATTTCAAAATAATAATAATAATGATGTAGGTTTTTGTAGAATATTTCAGGTATAAATTGATAAAAACTTGCAAGAATTCAATTTAGACAAGTGTAATAATTAATGAATAAAAATTATTCTAATCTATCTATAATATGCAAACAACTCTTATGCCTTCAGGCAATGTGTTTGTCACAATAAATTAATGTAAATAAAATCACCTGTATAATATCTGACTTCAAAATTGCAGTTGGTTCTTCAAGAAGAGATATAATTCCGAGTAAATCTTCCATTTTTCAATTAGATCTAGGTATAAAAAGAAAACAAAATTATTGTATGATACTTATAAACTAGTGTGAGCAAATTATACAGAATGTATGGTCACCTGAGAGAAAGCAGAAAATGACAGGAATTTGAATATGAAACAAGTAAATGAAAGGCCATTTTTTATGATAATAATTTACTACATTAACTATATTTACAATAAGTCAATTAGTGAAATATTTAATAACAATCATTGTGTTTCTTTGATAGGCTCAAATCCCTCCTTCTGCATTTTCTCTTTAAATAAATCATAGTCCCTTTTTCTATCAAAATGAGTCACCCACTTAGGAGGACATGACTTTTCAAAAATTTTTCTAATTTCAGTACACTCTTTTGGTATTCTAGAACTGTCTTTGATGTTGTGACTATCTAAACACTCCCAGTAACGGTCTCTAGAATCCCAACATGTTTTTCGTTGAGCTCGATCTGGGAATGACATATTTGTTTCACAAAAACCCTAAAATAAAAAATACAACCTTTGAATTTGTTTTATTTGGTGTGCATAGATGGAATACCCTTACTTTAAAAAACATATAAAACTAATGCCTTGACTAATCGAATAACATGGATTTTTGTGAAAATGACCTAACAGATGATATATGCAAATACATGATACATTTAGCTATATTCACATAAAACAATTTTGACTATACTACCTTAAAAATCAGTCATTTTATTAAGGTTAATTGTAGGTCCAGAAATTGGAAGCACTTATATCTATTTAATGTGTTAATACTAAAATCATTAAAATACTTGCTATTATTGATTTGTAATGTAAGTTAAACGGATAACTTACTTCCTTAAATAACTTTAATAAATTCTTGTAAGTATTTCGCTTTTGATGGATTGTGGATTGTGTTATAGTAGTCTGAAGTATTGCAAATTCTTCTAACCTCAAATATAACTCTTAGCTCCTACACCGATAAACCGATATTTTCAGTTTATACAAAGGTACTCTGTGACCGATATCAAATCAAAATTTGAAAATTTGACTTGACAATTGACATCCTATGACAAATTGACAATCATAGATAAATAAATATGTAGCAAGTTATTAACTATGGAGTGTTGAGGTTTGAGGTGGAGAACAAACCACAGAACACTATGACTCCTATGGAACAAACTCTGTATAAAAAAGTGTCCGTAGGAAAGTGCTAAATAAGAGGGGCGTCACTCTAGCTAGAGTGTAAATTTCAAAGATCTTTTATATAATTTTTTTATTGCACACACTCACCATAATTCTTTTTATCCTCCTCTAACTCGACCCGGGAACGCGGGCGTTCAACTGTATCAAAAAACCAACGCGCGACCTCTTAGCGCCACGGCTAGCTCACCAAGAAGCTAGTCAAGATTACGGGAACGTAAAATGATTTTTTAAAAACTATTTAAAATCTATTTTATTTCTTAATACAATTATAATTACAACCACTTAATTAATACGTCTTGACAGAAGTCGATGTCAGAACGAAGTGGCCGCTCCCATGAGCTCTGCCTGATATCTCATGCAACCAAAAGCGCTGACTCTACAGTTACTGGATACTGTCTAATGCTTATGCAGCCCCCTCTAAATACGAACCGTAACAACCCTATGGTCTTGTGGTTGCATAACTCCTCCCTCTCCAAGAGCGGAATTAACTGCTCCAGTATCCGTCAGGTTCAGGTGATCCAGTCTTGGTAAGTTTATAACTGGGGTCACTCTATAGCCAAGTTCCTTAGCAAAGTATAGGCGGTGCAACAATTTATAATTACTATGAAGGTCTCACAATCCTCACTAATTTTTATGATGTATGTGCCCAAAAGTGATTCTTTAGTTATGTCATCCTGGCATTTATTTGTTAATATTATTTTATGGTTGGCGTATATAATCCAATTTACAGGGCCGATAGACTGGATTTTGACATCCTCAAGATCAACGAGCCGAGGTTCGCATAGTGTGAGATTGTTTTGGAATTTCATCAGTTGTTCAGCACATGTGTTTCTAGGATAGGATACCATGTTGGAGCTCATACACAGGAATTCATCCGCCGCTATTTCGGTGCACGGCCGGGAGACCGGTAAGTATTTATACCGGTAAGAATATATGAACCTTTCACCAAAATGTAGGGATACTTGGGAATTATTACAGACGTTCTGTTTCTAAGTGCATCGAATACAGGTAATGGGTATAATTTGTAATAATTGTAATTAAAACTATCAGTAAGTGGAACTTCCATCAAGTACGTAATCTGGTTTGCTTTCATGTAAGCTTTTATAACAATAGTTCTTTCAATCTTTATTAAATTTTCTACATTTACAGGGTACACTAGGTTATCGACTTTGGCTATATCATTAAGTATCACTAACAGTTCAGATGAATTAATAATTGATTGGTGTAATACTGAAACTTTACTTAAAGCTAGAGCAGTTTCTATTTCACTAAGTTTAAGGTAAATACTACGAAAGTTACTAATAAACATATTATACATGCCTAAAATATATGTGTTATAAATTGAATTATTTTCTTTGGTAGCTATGTATTTTACTATTCGTTCAATTCTTTTTTAAGCGTTCATCTAATATTAGTTCATTTTCATGTAAAGTTTCTGTACTAATTGCCAAGCTATTCAGCATTTTAGAAACAACGGTGATTTTACTATCAACACTTAATTGGTTGTTCTTTAATTTAGATATAACGGAATCGTATCTAAGAGCATCTTCGTGATCTAAATTGCCGGTGATTGCTTTAATGATTGATCCTAGGGGATCTATGAGACCTCTTTTAAATCTATTGGATGGTACAAGTTGCTTGAATTTTTCAATAGTTATATCGCAAGAATAATCAGCTTGCGTTTTCATGGCTTGGAATTCATAAGCATAAGGTTTATTTATATCAACTAACCTACTAAAATCTTTGAACTTAATAATATTTAAATCTAAATTTTCCTTTATTCCTAATAAGCTAACTTCTTTCACTATAAGCCACCTGCTTGTTTGTTTAAAAGCTTGGCCTTCTTTTACAGGAAGCAGGCCCGGGTTGCTGTCAATTTTTTGAAGTTGAAGACTGCGAGTCCCAAGTATATGAGCCATAGTCAGGATGACCACGCACCACCTGTGGAGGTCGTTTGAAATTTTTAATAGGTACCTTTGTATCCCGTTCACCTATTTTAACGGGAACGATATTACGTTCTGCAGGACCTTGGATAACAGCTTTCCTGTACCTAGGTTTGTCCTTGCTTTTCCTAATATTGATGTCCTTTACGTACGCTATTTGCCCTTCGTTGAGTACTACCTTTGTTTCTCCTCCTTTCCGTTCCCTAGCCTTTTCCTTTTGTTCAATCATTCGATCGGAAATGTACTTATATAAATATTTAGTGCATTTTTGATGGTCTTTTAACAGCTGTTGGGTATAGGTCCTATCGAAATCGTTATCAAAAACCTTTCCAGAATCAGTGTGCCCAAAGCAGACTTCAAACGGAGTTAAACTAGTAGTTGAATGTATTGTGTGGTTATAAGCCATTATAGCGTAAGTCATAATAGAAGCTGCATCTGTAAATTTCTGCTCGTACTTAGCAATACGATATATTTCAATTATTGTCGAATGAAAACGTTCTATAATACCTGTGGAATTAGGATTATTGGGTGTTGTGATGTGAAGGTCTATTTTATACATATTTGTAAGCTCTCGCATTAGCTCATTGTTAAACTCTTTTCCAGGGTCGCAAGTTATCTTTTTAGGTACGCCATAGAATGAAAAGTACTTTATAAGGGCTCGAACTACCTCGGGTGTGGATCTATTTGTGATTTCAAATGCTTGACCTAATTTACTAAAAGCATCGATTAAGGTAAGAAAATATTTATTTTCTATAGAAAAAAAGATCGATGAAAACTTCCTGAAAAGGAGAATTCTGGGTCTGTGTTAATTGCAAGACCGGTCTAATTGGTTTTCTATCATATTTTGAAATTTTGCAGGTATGGCAATTATTAATTACAGCCGAAACTGTTTCCTGCATATTATCCCAAAAGTAGTTCCTACGTATGCTTACCATGGTTTCCTTTATACCACGGTGACATGTTTTACCCTCGTGATGTTTTAGAATTATTTCCCTCTGTTCGGCCTCGTCTTCTACGTATACGACACGTTCTGTACACTCGAAGAATTCTACAGTGCCCTTTTTAAATAGTTCTATGATAATTTTGGAAAATTGTTTTCTATGTGATTCGTCCTCAAAGTAAATGAAGTATTTAATCTTTGGTTTTACATATTCTTTTAAAAATTGTTTAATTAAGATTTCGTTATTGATAGGTAAGAACACTTCTAAAATTTTGTGCTTTTTGTTTGAAATATCTTTGACCTGCATTTCATTCCTAAACCAAGTGAATATAAGTATTTGATTAGGTTTAGTATCTACAGCTTCCCTTAATATAGGTATACCTGTTGATTCTAATTCTAACGCTGAGTGTACTGTTTCTGTGCTAATAGATGGTACGGGATAAGTTTGTTCGGTTATATCTATTGGATCAGATGCTGAAAGGGTAGCTGATAGGTCAGACACAGTTATTGTATCGGAGTTCTCATTTGGTTTGTTAAGTTTTGCTATGCGGTAAATTTCGTCGGTCAAGCTGTCTACATAGTTTTTAAGGTTTTTGTCTGTATCGGATACATTCACTTGCATCGAATCAGTGTCATCGTCGGAATCTAATGCGTTTAGTTTGATACGAGATAGGGCGTCAGCGTTAGTGTTCTGCTTTCCATTCTTGTAGATTACCTCAAAATCAAATTCTTGTAAACGTAGTCGCCATCTTGTTAATTTACTATTTGTTTCTTTGAGTGCATAAAGCCAGGCAAGAGGTCGGTGGTCAGTATATACGTAAAATTTTTGTCCGTACAGATAAGGTCTGAAATATTTAACTGCCCATATAATGGCTAGAAGTTCACGTTCGATTGTGCTATACTTTGTTTCAGTGTCACTTAGGGTGCGACTGGCGTATGCGACTGGTTTTTCAGAACCAATTGCCCCTTGTGACAACACGGCGCCTAATGCGACAGAGGACGCATCTGTTGTAAGTATGTAGGGTTTAGATGGGTCTGGGTATTGTAAAAGAGGTGCATTAACAAGTAATTCTTTGCATTTCTCAAATGCTTCTATATATGATTTGTCGATAATAATTTTATTTCTTTTCTTCAAGCAGGAAGTAAGGGGTTGCGTTATTTTCGCGAAGTCCCTAATGAAACGACGGTAATAGCCTATAAGTCCCAAAAAACTTTTTATTTCAGTGGTAGTTTTCGGAAGTGGGTAATTAATTATTGCTTTTACTTTGTCGTCGTTCGGTTTAAGTCCATCTTTGGTGATGCTATGACCTAGATAGAGGACTTCTTTCCGCAAGAACTCAGATTTATCAAGTTGCACCTTGAGGTTAGTCTGTCGTAGTCTGTCAAAAATCATGCGTAACTTTTCAATGTGTTCTTGGAGACTTTGAGATGCCACAATTATGTCATCTAAGTAGACTAAACAGTGGATTCCTTGCAGGCCTCTTAGAATGTTATCCATTGCGCGTTGGAAGGTTGCCGGCGCTGTCTTTAATCCGAACGGCATTCTTAAGAACTCGTAATGGCCAAATTCGGTGCTAAACGCAGTTTTTTGTCGGTCACTTTCGTTGACTTCAATCTGATGATAACCGCTTGCAAGATCTAAGGTCGAGAAGTATGTACATTTGCCTAATTTATCAAATATGTCGTTAATATTTGGTAGAGGATATTTGTCTCCTATAGTCACTTCGTTAAGTCGCCTGTAGTCGATCACCATACGAAATTTACGTTCCCCAGACGCGTCGACCTTTTTTGGTACTAAATGAACTGGGGCACTCCAAGGAGAGAAAGATTCTTGAATGACATTGTCTTCCAAGAGTTTCTCTACTTGCCTCTTTATTTCCTGAGCTTGAGCGGGTGGTTGTCTGTACGCTTTAGTATAAATTGGGTCTTCATTAACGGTACGGATAAAATGTTTCACTTGATTGGTGAACGTCAAGGGCAATTTGTCACAGTAAAAGATGTCTTTGTATTCCGTACAGAGCGCAAAAATAGTTTTACGCTCTTCCTCATTCATGTGTTCTAGTCTTAATTTACCTAAATTTTGTAATAGGAGTTGGTCAATGTCGGTATCAGTTTTATCTACAAGGGAATTAACTAGGGTTTTCTCACTGTCATTAAAAGTCTCAGTTTGGAAAGGTCGTGTCACGGTCAGGGTCATTTCTTGTTCG